ACTACTACTACTACTACTACTACTACTACTACTACTACTACTACTACTACTACTACTACTACTACTACTACTACTACTACTACTACTACTACTTGTCCAAATATGAAAGGACACACTCTCATAAATTAAGTTTTTATGCTATTCTACCAAATTTAAACTGGTAATAATTTAGACCTGATGCTTCAAACTAAAAAAATCCATTTAATACCTTCTTCCATTTATGTGAAAGGACATAAAAAATATTTCAAAAGATTACATGAGGAAAAAAATCCTATGACTTTAACGTCAATTATATTCTAGTTATAGTTACAATAATTCAGACTGATAAAGTTGAAAATTTCAAGCTGGTGAATTTACTCCAAATAGTTCAATAAAGGCATTTAATTTAATTTGGGTATGTTATTTTTTTAAAGGCATTTYTTTGGGAATTAACAAATAAAAAGGAAACAGATTGGTACCGGCGCTGACAGCGAAGCCTCTTCTGTGATTTGCCGGCGGACTGACAGCTGTGTGGTTGTGTGAACAACTGGAAATAGGAASCCCGGCTGATGAGTTACTGGATTCACCCAGATGGCGCTGTTGCTCTCGAAACCGGACCCCGTAAAAGGTCTGTGTTCTGGGCTCAGATGTTCACCCTCTATCCAGTTCTGATCTGGACTGTTTCGGCTCGGCTTCTCTTCCACCTTCAGGTTGGGTTGAGAGTCGGGGGGAGTCTGAGAGGTTGACTGGGTGGGGACAGGTGCTGGGGTGTGCTGGTCTGTCTGGGTTTGGTCTGTGGGCTGGTGCTGGTGCTGTGTAGGATGGTTCTGGTAAACTCGTGTCTGCTCTGCTGGGATTTCCTCCACTGGGCTGTGGTCTTCTGTTGGCAGGTTCACATTTTTATGGTTCTTGRGTTTTTTCCATCCTGCAGAAGAGACCTACAAAGAGAATACAAACATCCATTGTTTATGTTAAAGTCTCCTCATTTGAAGAACAGAYGTACAAATTTACCACAGTATTCACCTATTTAGAAGTCCTTCATSAAATCACTGGTCTCCAAATGTTCAGTGACAAGACGTGACCAACAAATTAACCCCCATTTGCATCATAATTAAATCTGCGGTCATTAAAATTAAGAAACAGACTCTAAGTACCTCTACGTGGCTTTCAGAATCCTTTGAGATGCTGTCAGGGTTGGAATCACTTTCTGGACCAAGACAAGACAAGAATGAACCTTTTAGACTCGTGAACTCAACATTAAAAGCTGTTCTTACAAAGCRTGTGCCAGTCAGTACCGGGGTCCTCCAACGGCATGTCCACTATAATCTGGTCACTCCATCGCCCTCTAAGGCCGTTGGTGCAAACAGCCACCACCTGAACCACATAGCTGCTGTTAGACAGCAGATTGGAGATGATGGCGCCCTGCAAAGCCACACAGCTCAGTTAAAATCAGTTWTTGAACTTCTGACCATAGAGCCAAAGGAAGCAGAAAAGGAAAAGCAAATTTATTGACAGAAAATGAATGAAATCATTCCTATACTTTTCTTTTTATTAATTTTATGTTAAAAATAACACATCTGTGATGGGCAACAATATTTACTGTACTTTTCAGAACATACAGATCTAAAGAAATCAAACTTATTTTAATGTCTTAAAATAAGTGTATGCTGCTTTAAAGAAAGCACAAGAAGGAATGTTACAGTGATCTGTTAGATAAAAGTAAAAGTGATATGAAGGCAACATGGAGAATAATGAATGGGGTTTTGAAAAATAACAACAAAATCAAGTATTTCTCAATATTTTGTAAAGGATGACAATGAAATTTATGATCAGAATGAAAATGTAAATGGATTTAATCCTTATTTTGTCAATGTTGGTCCAAGTCTTGCAGCTAAAGTACCAAAAGTAGTTAAAAATGTGAACCATACAGTGATGGGTTGTAGTAACCGTATTTTTCTTGATGGAACTGACAAAGAAGAAATCATGAATACTGTAAAAAATCTTGCAGATAAAAGATCAAAAGGTTGGGTGGACATGGATATGGTGTTTATAAAGGAAATAATGGGTTATGTTACTGAGCCGTTTACATATACTGTATATGTTATTATTATAGTTAATATATATACACATTTTTTTTAAATAGTGGCAGATATTATAAGTTTTTTCTTCTTTCTGCTACCTTTCATTTTTATTTGATATGTATTTTTTTGTATGTGAATTTGTTAAATTAAATGAATAAATATTGTCAAAAAAGAAAGAAAGCCAGCATTGAGCATAAACTACATTTTCCATCTCCCATTGGCAGGTGTGGTAGAGTATTTAGGGGAGTTGTCCTGTAACCGATGGGTTGCTGGTTCGATCCCCCGTTCCATCCATCCATCCAGCTTATTGATGTGTCCTTGGACTAGACACTTTACCTGCCTTAGTTTGTTGCCCTCTGTCAGTCTGCCCCAGGGCAGCTTTTGCTACAATGTAGCTTTAGTAGGGACTTGATAAAGCGCTATATACGCTCAAGCCATTTACAGTTTCAAATTCAAAAAARAGTTTCAATAATGCATGYCAATTATTTTATTGGAAAAATGACAGCTTCCCACCAAWAGATGGAGCTGAACAGATTTTAAAAGAAGCCAGCAGCTGTCAGTTGACAAATTTCATGTAAAATCTCCATTTTACTGCATTTTAGCCAGACGCTTTTGCTGCGAATCAATTGTACTGGGAAGTGGGAATTTCTCTCTTATAAGTTGTAAATTTAAACTAGAACGTCCCTCCAGAGGGAAGTTCAACTATACGACAGCTGCTCACCACAACTCTTCAGTGAGTAAAACTCTTACTTGTACTTTTAATAGTATTTCTGTATTTATTTCACTTTTAGTCAGTCATAAACGTAGTACTTTTTAGTGTTTATAACGCTGTTTCTATGCAGGAAATACCACATAGGGCTCAGTTATTGTTTGTTAGCGATGCTCAGCTGTAGCAACGAGATGAGGAGCATGACATTAAGTTTAGTCAAAGTTAAACATGAAACATTAAAGTTGTTTACAGCTGGCTCTTTGAGGGCYACCATGTTCACATGGCCGTCAGTGAATAGAAGTTAGACACCCCAAGGTTTCACTGTATTTCAACAAGATGTGAGACAGTGCTTTCTTGCTTTTGTAATTTGACTATTTGTAGTCAAAGGAGAACCTGCRCAGGATAAACCCTAATGAGTCCTCCCACTGCAGCATAATTCACACATAATCAGAAWTATCACAGACAGTGATGTCAGAGTGGATGTTTTATTTTTAGTTATTGGTGGAGGAGAAAGATCTGGTAACTCTGCTGTTAACTGCGGAGGAGCACGACTTTGTAAATTTGTTTGAGACTGCCCCCGTTTAGGAACGTTTTGCTATTCTGCCTGGAAAAAAATGTGTTTAAAACATACTAAATAATAATATTAATTTCAGTATGTTTTCATTTTGTCTATTTCATTTGACAGCAATATGAAATTTGAAACAAAGAAAGCATTCTAGTTAAGTAAAAACTATTGATCAACACAAAAGTAYAAATACCGATATTCATCAATTTAATTTGTTTCAGGTTTGCTGTACAGAAAAAATGTTTACATCTTATTGTACAAACCACCATAGATTCAATATACAAACACAGAGTCAGAACCAGAGAATGAATGTGCACTATTTGCTGAAGGGATAGAAATTACAGCAATTTCTCACAATTATCTATTTTTGTGTCAAATGGACCAGCAAGGCATGTAGATAATGGTGGAAAATGGCTGAAATGACACGTGGGCACAGAGTAACACGTCTGTCGTTGCCGTGTTTTTTTTTTTAGGTTGCCCTACCACATCTTGGTCTCCATCAGTCCTGTACTCCTGCTTGCTCTGCTGTCGGCCTTGGAGAACCTGGTAGGTGACTGTGTACCAGTCGATGGTGGTGTCGAAGACCACCCGGGGACGCTCCCATGTCACCACGATGGTGGTGTCGTTCTGGGCATCGGCCTGAACATTTTGTGGCTCCGAGGTGCAGGCTGGAGACAGCAGAAAGAAAGCATCAGTGGGATGTGATTAAAACAAGAAAAAAAAGAAAGAAAAAAGCGTCCATCTTYAATGCAAAACAGAAGTGACGCAAAGAGTTGAAAGTAACTTGATGGCAAATGAGTTGACAGGAAATATAAGACACAGAATTCCACTTTAAAAAGCCCAGTTCTGGAGTGAGTGGGCGGTGTGTGTGCGTGTGTGCGTGTGAATCTCTGACTGCTTTATTTCAATTTCAAAAAGAGCTGCAAAATAAATTGCACATGCCGAGTGAAGCGGGGCGACTGAACTACAAAGTGCAGCTCCCTGGTAACCCGAAAGATCCGCTTTTACTGGGTCATGAAAATGAAGAGAGTCGTGAATTCTCTTTTAATGTTCTCGATGAGGCCAACCTAGCAGGAGCGGACCGTGGTGGCAAAACAGAGATTTTTTCTACCAAAATAAGGGCATTAATGYAACATTTATATTGATTCTTGAGAAGACGATTCAGTGTTTCTCCATGAAATCAAACTCCCTGCTGTGAGTTCAAAGCAGTGTTGAGCTGCTCATCAATACATGTTTCTAAGACTTTTGCTGTTGAGATGTTTCAGAGCTTAAAAAACATCAATAAATCAGCGAGAAAGCGCATGATATTTAATAATTATTCATGCCTCGTGGCTGGATTTATTATTATTTATTTATTTATTTTACGCAGAACACCAGATCAAGCTGAGTGTAAAATGTAAAAAAAAATTACATGTGAAACCTTAAATGTGAAAATGTTTTTGGTGGAGATCAAGCTCATCCCTAATAAACAGTAACTTTAATGTTAAGGTAATAATGCTTTCATCTTCAAGAAAATTAATTTAGGATCTCTGACTGCAAAGTTAAGTGTGAACTTTAATAGGAGCAACTTCAAACTTGTATGAAGRGAAGTCAGACAAACAAAATTTAAAAAGCATTAAAGATAATTGTTGCCTAAAACCACTGACTTCTGTGAGAATGTCCTGAAATTCATTTATATTTTGACCTAAAAAAACAGGGATAATGGGCCTCATGCAAGAACCGTTC